GAAAGAACGAGATCGTGGATACAAGCGGCCGAAATGGGTTTCCTCAGTAGGGTGGCTGGGCTCTCCCTTAGAGATAGGGTCATCCGGGAGGGATCTGGGTTGGATAAAGTGAGACAAAGAAGAGTTGATTCATTTCCTGTTTCAGATGTTGTGTCTCACCAATAGACTGATAGGGATAACCGGAAAAGAGCAGAAATGTTTCCACATTTAGGAGATTACCTGAAAACCTCAATCAGACAGAACATCTACTTGGACACCGTACTGTCTGAAATCATGCTAAACCAAGAATTCAACTGTTTGTAAGGCTGAGGGAGGCTTTCTGAGAGGATTAGGTGCCAAGCTATGAAAAATGGCCCATAACTATGAAGATGGTATATACCTTGAGACAAGGGGAGTCTGGTGATGAATTTGACTACTATGTAGGACTAATGTGTCAGTATTTCCAGCCTTGAATGTATTCCCTGATGTATTCGCAGAGGAATTGGTGGGCCAGTAGAATTTACTAAGAAGTAGAGCAATGGTCTGACTCGAACCAGGATGGCAGCAGGACTTCAACATGAGGCAACCACAGATCTAGAAATGGGAGCTAGTAAAATGGATAGAGTGCTACAGGACATGACTAGCCCCCGTCCTTCTGAGACACATTGAAGAAACACAACCCCAAGGGAGAAGAGGGTGTATTAAGCCAGTGGCATGGTACTCAATGATGAATGTTTCCATGGTCTCTCTTTCGTTGTGACAGATATTGTAAAGTTGCCAGAAGATAGAGGCTCCAGGTAGCAGTTCCATAGCACAATCATTGGGATGGTGGGGTGGCAAAGAACGGGCTTTATCCTTACTTAACACCCACTTTAATTCATGCTATTCTTCAGGAATAGAACTATGATCCATAGAGTTGGCTGAGGATTCATCCTCTGGTGTCGGGCTACAAGGATTGGCAGCTTTTAGACAGAAGGAATGACATTTGGGTGACCAGGCATCAATTCTCTGAGATGTCTGTGTTTAGGATCAAATGTCAATGATATTAGAAGGAGCAAGTCCCATGATATAGCATTCCTGGCACACAGTTTACTTTAGCAGCTGACGCCATGCAGCTTTCGGGCCTCGAAAGGGGAGACACACGCCAGTTTTCAGCTGAGGCCATGATGTAGCCACCAGATCCCCTTCGGAGAAGAGTCTGTGTTCACTAGCCCAATCAGACTGCACCCTGCCAATGATTCACAAGGAGCTGAAATAGTGTCTTGTTTTTCCTGCGTTTCAAACCAGATTGAACACAGTGTTTTGTGAACCCGCCTGCTAAAGAAGATGAGAAATCCCAGAGTTCTTCACAAGCTACGGAAGAGCCAGGCCCAAATTGCTGTTCGTCGAGGAGTGGTTATAAGCTGCCGACCCTTGTCCCACCCGAACTGCTGCTGAAGAACTGTGAAACCACCAGACCATGACCCACCTGTACAGCTATAGTGTGCTGTGCTGCCACCCTCCGAGCTGCTGCTACAAAGTTATCCACTGTCTTAAATGGACCCCTCTTCTAAGGTGGCTGTGAGTGACAAAAGCTCTTCAAAGTTTTATTCTGTTGTTTGCATCATAATAACTCAAATCTCCTTAAGAGCTGCCTGTTGGATGAGCAGACTGTGTTCTTATGCAAAAACAGACAGACATCTTCAACAACCGAATCTAATCTGACCGGAACCAAACCCTGCCCCCTCCATTCCAATGAGCCAAAAGTAAATATCATTTTCCCTCTTTCATCATTTGCATAATAGATACTCTGCTTGAGCAAAATGCAGGTAGAATAGATAGTTTAGATATGTTGTTTATGTCTTATCTGAAAGAAGCTTTCTAATTCAACAGCTGATGGTTCTTAAGTAAGAGTTCTGACCTGAATGAAAATGCTCACTGAGCCTGATTGGATGATCCATACTGTGTGTTACTGTCTGTTTAATTCCTCTTTTTCATTTGTTTGAAGAGTTACGCTACTACAGTCAGACTGGCTAGCATTGTTACCACCAAACTACCCTATTTTAGCAGCCATGTTGTGAGTCCTCTAACCCCTCCTTGTTCTAGCTGGCCCACCCCCCGGAACCGGGTGTCCTGTGCAGCTGAACTAACCCATTATCTCCAGCGTCACTATTTCAAGGTATTCCTGAGATGAGTCATTGTTCATCTTTCACTCTACTAACCTTGAATAGACTCTTAGAACCCCCGTTTTTCTCTCTTTTCTTTACCCGTGCTTATTTTCAGGAACATTTAGTCTTTGAGTAGTTATAAGATATAATAATACTGTGTGAGAGATAGCTGTCACCAGACGGATCAAGGCTCAGCAAATAAGAAAACATCAGGGTCACAAAAGTAACCTTAGATTCTTGGAATTTATAAGAAAAATATTGTATAAGCAGTTTAAACTGGCGTCCAGAAATGGGGCTTGTGTCCACAGCTCAACAACGTATAGGAGACTTGGCATTTGCCAAAGAACACCAGGATTGGCCAATTCACCACGGGCGCCCAGTGCTTTTCACAGATGATAGCAGGTTCACACTGAGCACATGTGATTGACATGACAGTCTGGAGAGACTTCGATCTGCTGCCTCCAACGTCCTTCAGAATGAACAGTTTGGCAGTGGGTCAGTAATGGCATAGGGTGGCATTTCTTTGGAGGGAGGCTTATCCCTCCATGTGCTCACCAGAGGTAGCATGACTGTCATTACTGCAATACTGAGATGGGATCTTCAGACCCCTTGTGAAACCATATACTGTTGCAGTTGGCCCTGGTTTCCTCCTAATGCAGGACAATGCTAGACTTCATGTGACTGGAGTGTGTCAGCAGTTCCTGCCAAATGAAGGTATTGAAGCTATGGACTGTCCTGCCCCTTACCCAGACCTGAATCTGATTAAACACATCTGGTACATAATGTCTCGATCCAGCCACCAACGTCACATTGCAGCACAGACTGTCCAGAAGTTGGCAGATGCTATGATCCAAGTCTGGGAGGAGATCCCTCAGGAGACCATCCGCCACCTCATCAGGAGCAAGCCCAGGCATTGTAGAAAGTTCATACAGGGACATGGAGGCCACACACAATGCTGAGCCTCATTTTGACCTGTTTTAAGGACAGTTGGATCAGCCTATAGTAGTTTTCCACTTTATATTTGAGTGTGACCCAAATCCAGGCCTCCATTGTTTAATAAATTTGATTCCCGTTGATAAATGTGAGTGTTCCCTTTATTTTTTTGATGAATGCATTTTGTGATGTTCACACCGGAGCAGCAAAAAAGTGCCTGCTGCTTCATTTTCGTCTAAAGGGCGTCTTGAATCGCCTCCAGTAAAGTGGGTACAGATGCAGCTGAAGCATCTAATGCTTCTGCTGCTCCTGTTTTCAATGGCAGATAACATCTTTGCTATATATTTGCTGTAATAAACTGGTAAAAAGCAGTTTTAATATATTTTTAAGCGAGAAAGTCCATCTGAAAACATCAGCTGTGCAGTCAGTTCATCAAGATTATGTTCCTTCCTAAAAAATAAAGTATTTAAATGCTCTGCCGGTATGGCAGTCTGTAGTCTATTTGTAAAAAAAAAAAAAAAAAAAAAAAAAAAAGAAGGGGGATGGTGGATTTTTTTATTTTTTTGGAAGCATACATAGTCTAATTAATATAGCCTATTAACCTAAAGCAATTTTCATTGTATGGTTGTTACATATCAGGTACGCCGGTCATTGACCTTGACCAAGGCACCTTAGAGTAGAACTGCAGTCAGTCCCTGGACAGGCATGGCTATCACTGCCCCTACATTGTTGGGGAAAAATGCAGAGGACAGATTTCCAACTGGGATCAGCTTCATATTTATTGTAGGCCACCTCTTTGATGTTATTTATTTTGCTCAGGCCAAATGTTGAAAGGACAATATTATTGCCATTACTGTTAATATATGGTAGTAATTTTACACATTCAGTGATAAAATGTCACAGGGGATGGGATGGGGGAAGGTCATTTAAGAAGGGGGATGATTTTTATGATTTTTTTAAGAGGGGAGATGCCATCCCCCCCTCGTCCCCCCTCAACTCAAGAACTGGTGGCGGTGCGCTGTCACTGGGAGAACCCGGCAGCAGCTGGGGGGTTTCCCTTTAATCATGTACAAAAAGAAAACAATAAAAGGTCATATCGCCATATGCTTAAAAAAACACCAAAAAGTAAGTAATTAAATCGTTTTTTTTTTAAGTACTTTAAAGTGTATTTTTCCTACAAAACTAAAGGGATAAACTAAAGGGATAAACGGATATTGACTATGGGTATGCTGGTCTGACCAGGTATGCTTATCTGAAGGAACACTCGCAGGTTTTGACATTCTAAGTTAATTTAGGCATTATTTAACAGTTTCAAGGGTGTGATCACAGCGCTCTGCATCAGCGGTGCAGTGTCTATCTCCTTGCCACCTCCAAGATCAGCTTCTCTGATTGGTTGATGTGGCAAGTTGAGCAGCAAAAATTCAATTTTTCCCACTCCAACAACTGCTGCTTGTGAAGCAGCTCAGATGCTCAGAAGCTCAATATGCTTCTGCTGCTCTAGACGTTCTACAGGACCTTATGATGCGCCTTGATGAACGTCAACCATTGTCTTTGAATGTAAACCAGCTGCTTCTGCTGCTTCAATGGCGTTAAGTTGAACATATCATTAGAGTAACCATATTGCGCTCTTAAATTTTACTCTGAGGGTCTCTTGTCACGACCACTTTGGTTGCATTCAAATTTGTCTGTGGGCGGGGTTATGGTCTTAAGTCAAGGTGAGTAACACTTTGAGGAGTTCCAGTTCTTTGTCTGATGGTCTAATATATTGTTTATCAAGGCACCAGGATTACTGCCTCTAGTATGTTTTTTTCCAGCTTCTTCTGAATGTTTTCCTCTCTGCTTACCTCTCTCATCTTTTTGTGGTCCCTGAGTTTTTGTTTCTTTAGTGTTCCTGGATGGCTCTGGCCAACCACATTGTAGCAGTTTACCTCTGGTACTTACCTTGTCCACAGTTGTTCCTCACAGTTCCTTGGTCTCCGCTTACCTCCTCTGGCCCACTTTCTTCTATTCTTCGAGAAAGCACAAGCCCTCCTTAATACCGAATTCCATTCTTCTAAGAGATGAAAGACGTATTACTGGAAATAGTCACCAAAAAGTGCGTTGGAATCTTACCCTCACCTCAAAGTTGTCCTTACATCTATCTGAACATAAGCTTGCTTCCTCTTAGCTGTTCAAAATTATTCAGTTTTCTCCAAACATCCACTTTCTCCTCTCCAGAAAGTGTTTATCCATAAGAACCCCTTGGTTCTGCATTTACTTATTTACTTAGCTAAGTGGTTCAGCAAATTACCACACACCATGTCAAAATCTTTGAAATCACTTGAGAACTACCTTTCAGAGGACATCTCATCAATCTTACTATGCAAGAGCTAATTTAGTAAAGAAAGAGAAGCAATTTAACAAGATTTTATTCAAGCTCCTCCATCCATATTTTGGTGTTAGTATTCAACAAATATTTTCTCTCAAAAGTAGTACTGTGATGAGAGAATCTGTTCAGCCAGACAAAACGGTTTGTAACTGTATTTGTGTTGAATTTCCGGTTTGTAAGGGACTGGAAGCAAGCATTAGCTGGCAGGTTGATGACTGAACCAGTTGGTGACAGACAAAGCAGATAGGTAGCAGGTTTGGTGACAGAACCGACTGGTGACAGGCTGCTAGAGAAGGCAGATGATGACCAAACAGAGTCAAGGTTCTGAGCAGACTGAATGATAGCTGACAGACTGTAAGCAGGCTATAAGGATAAATATGGAACACACTGATAACAGGCAGAAACTATCCTGACATGGCTATCGAGTCAGAGGTCGATGAGAATCCAGTTAGAGCAGGCCAAGTACAGGAGAACGGAAACACAGAGGAACAGATGAAGACACGTGATGCTCAGTGACACTGGAGCGAAGAACCAGAGAGGGAAGGTCAAGCACTGGAATGCAGAAAAGCTGAGGGCACAGAACTGGAGTGACTTTCGTACGAGCTAGACTGAGACATTCTAGCAGGGAATAACTGAAAGGGGCTGGTATAAATAGGAGCAATAACAGCTGGGAGGAAACTGGTGGATTGGGGAGTGGCAAGATGCATCTGCTTAGTCTAACTAGAAGAGTGGAGCTGAGCGGATAGTGATAACAGCCAACCAGCCCAAAAAAACAAACAGGCGGGAGTCATGACAAGCGCACTTGATTATAATAGATTCTTTCTGCGATTTGGGGTCAAAACAGTCGTTTGATATTATGATTAAACACATCTGATAAACGAGTGTTTAAATGAGTGTTTAGATCATAATCATTATTTTTTTTTCTGCTCTAAGAAAAGACAAACTAGTAGTGAGAGAGGCCTTTTTGTCATGCAACACCAGGATGTGGCAACTTTATATAGGGGACACTGATTCTGATGAAGCAATCAAAGGCCTCTAACTTTTATTGACTGATAAAGGCCCCCTTGTAATAGTTAACTTCTTTAGTTTTACCATTTCAGTTGTGATTATAATGTGATGACTTAAAGGTATGTTCTTCTTCCAGGTGGATCATCAAAATAAGTAGTTCTCCTAATTGTTAATCATTCTGGTGATATAATTACATAAGTCCGTCATACGTGCTCGTCCCATTAGATATCTTTTTCTGCGCATGTGCACTTTCAGGTGTGTATCTGTGGTGAGCTGCAGTTTCAGACATTTATTTAAGCTCACTTTTCTCGCCGCTGTTCTTTGAAAATGGCAGAGGGTCGTAGGAGAGAAAGTGTCTACGAAGTGTATGAGAAGAAAAGAAAGGCCTCAGAAGAGGCAGATATATCCCAGAATGCTTTTCACGGAGAGCTCTCCTCGCAAAGCATTATGGGATTTGCTCTCAGACCGGCCGGCTGTCACTACCCGATAGCAGCGACTAATAACAAAGATGGCGCAGGCACCAAGCGGTGGAGGTGGAGTTACATGACCACCAGATCAAAAATTAGTTATTAGTCATCTGACCGAATAGTAAGTTAAATAAGTTCGCTATAAAGTCCACTGTATAGTTCTCATTCTATTTAGTGATTGAGTGATTTAGGGGTTAAAGCGGACGTTCGGACACAGTAAGCTCGTATGAGCAATCGGAGCTTGTGCACGCTCTCGCACGTGTTTAATAGGCATACCCTCTTGGGAGCAGGTACAGGGTTGTGTATGTGCATTTTTTTTTTTATTCACAAAAATCTTCCACTATACCTTTAAATGTGTTTATCCGTTGTGGTCTGTCGTAGTATAACCCCACTTCTGTTTTCTTGAAGGGGAACCAGTGGGGGGGTTGCATGGGGGGGGGGGGGGGGGGTTGGGGGGGGGGGTTGGGGGGGGAGTCGTTGTTTATTATGTTAATCTTAGATGATTTATTATTTTAGGCCCTTTCTGTAGAAATTTTTTCCTAGGATTTCATTAACCGGTTTTTGTGAAAATGTAAATTTGTCTGTTGTCGTTTAGCATCCCTTTGAACCCTGAACAGTTGTTTATGTGTAAAAAAACAATACTACAAAGTGTAGACAGGGGAGGGTTACAAATCCTACTGCTCACAATAATACCAACTTGTAAAATGTTGAAGTTTATGGTTGTATGAAACAAAAGGTGAACATTTTATTGGGGACAGGGCAGTGTGAATGTGCTGTCACAGTTGCAGGACAGGTTGATGAGTTCATGCAGTGACGTCAATGCATGCAGCACTCAGGCTGGCTGAGGTCCAACTGTAACCCAGCCATATGTGAGCCATCCGATCCGTTGATCAACTCAGTTTAGAAAATAAACCTGGAAGGCACCTGTGCCTTGAGCACCTGCTTAACATACTCTATGGTTATTAGCTGCATATCCGTGTAAAAACACATGCAATCCCATTAAATGAATCACGTGCTGCAGAGAGAAACAACAAACATCCCACCTTTTCTGAAGCTCATAAAAGCCCGACGCTCTAACGCTAGCCGCTTGGCTCTCTCATCCATGTTACTTCTGTTTCGCTGAGGGCTGAAAGAGGCAGGGTAGACGCAGATGCTCTCTAGGTGCTTCAGCATAACAGCTGAATATAACTAATAACCACTCATGGTGCGTCACCCCACAAAAGCACAGGATCAAGAAGATGCTTGAGGTTCAGGTGCTGGATTATGTAGCTGTCACAAGTCTTTCGTCTGTAGGAATCCTCTTACAGAGTTCTGATGGTAAATGAAAGGAAATCCTGCAAACTACAGGAAAAAAAAACTAAAAGGAAAAAATCTGCAAAGCTTCCCCAAATAAAGATGATCCAAAATGACTTCCATCTAGTCCGTTATATAAATAAATCAGAGCCTGTAGATTTCAAATCGCAGTGAAGCTTTAGAGGAGACTTCACATGTTGTTGGAAGGCTGATTGAGGGTGTGTGAGCCTTCATGTGTGTCAAATGTTGGCGAATGTGTGATCAAGCAGCCTGTCACAGCCGTTGCTTTACCCAGTCCTTCAGCCGGTGACAGACGCAAACAGGTGCACTTCCTGGCCACGCACACGTGTGCATGCAGTCACGCACACACAACAGATTCCTCTCCCTTAGCGCTTAGTGTGGTGTCAGTGAAATTCACCTGTAAGGGCGCCTTACAGCTGTTACCTTCTCTTTAGGTCTAAAATTATTACCGACATACACAAGCATTAACTGTGTTCTCTTTTCCTGTCCTCCTTTCTGACTGTTGTTTACTGCCTTTTATGTTTGGAGGGGTTAAAGTTTATGAGGACTTCAGATCATTTTTGGTTAACCCTTTATAGGGCACTCAGTGAAATACTTTGAAAAAGGCAACTTGCCCGAATATATTAAGGAAAATGACAAAAGTGCTTCTATAAGAAATTCATGAAAAAGAAACACCTTTTTGTTGGTGCAACAAAACCATAGAGGCATTAAAGCTACAGTGTGTAATAATTACAGGGATATACAGTCAGAAATGGAATATATTATACATAACTATGTTATTTTATCATCATCTACGAGCTCAGCCTCTTAACCTTAATATTTGCGTTGCCTTAGAATTCGTTATTTATAATTACATAGGAGCGGGTCTCGCAGCCATGGAGGCAGACATCTTTGCGCTACGGCAGCGCAGAGCCAACAAACTAGCGATTGTGAGATCGCCAAAACGTCACAACGATGTAGAAAAAATAACGGGTATATTTATTATCTTAAGTCTACATGAAATCTATACCCTACACAGACTAATGAAATACTATCTGTAAAATTATCTATGTAAACAAACCTCATCACTGGAGAAGGTAGTGATGCGGACGTCGTGGAAGACATTTTGTCCCGTAACGCTCGCCGTACTGTTGGGGGGGAGAAGCGGTGGGGGGGATATGTTCATGTTGCTGCAGTCTGCAGTCTGACCGCTAGATGTCGCTAAAAGTTACACGCTGTAGCTTTAATGCTGATACTGGCACTTATTCACATTTTTTGTTTATAAATCTAAAGATAAATGTTTTTTTTTTGTCTTGTTTTTTACTTTACTTTTTACTTTTCAATTAGCTTTTTTCCTTTCTTTTCTTGACTTGTTAACTTTATTAGTTAACTAGGTATATAAACTGTTTTCTCACCCCTCGTGGGGTGGTATGTGTCATCCTCAAGCTCGGGTCCTCTACCAGAGGCCTGGGAGTTTGAGGGTTCTGCGCAGTATCTTAGCTGTTCCTAGGACTGCGCTCTTCTGGACAGAGACCTCTGATGTTTTACCTGAAATCTGCTGTAGCCACTCTCCCAGTTTGGGGGTCACAGCCCCCAGTGCTCCAATTACCACTGGCAACACTGCTGCTCTTACTTTCCACATCTTTTCTAGTTCCTCCTATATATATATATATATATATATATATATATATATATATATATATATATATATATATATATATATATATATATATATATATATATATATATATATATATATATATATATATGCATTGCCCTAAGGGTTAAATCTGTGGAATGGGGGAAAAAAAGCATTGGTTTATTTTTGTAGCACTTCAAATCAATGACAAAAGCAGATCTTTACCATCTTTCCATTATGCAGCTTATTTGTTGATATAAATGCAAATAAAAAAAAAATCTGAAACTTGTTTGTAAATGTTGTTCCTTTATCAATATAGACTACATAGATTTTAAATTTTTTTCTTCACAAATATAAATCTGAGCCCCCAGCACCTTCAATTTTTAGAGTATGTGTCTACCAGCTTTGCTCTATTTATATTTCCCGTTATTTTATGATGACAGCTCTAGTCAAGGTGTTTGGAGACATTAATAACTGTTTATTACAACTCTTGCCAGTCTACGTCTTTGACTTGGACATTATACAGCTTACAGGAAATAAGCAATGAATCATTTTCTAAAGCAATAATGTAAGATATAAAGAAAAAAATCTATATAAGGGGAAAAAAAATATTTTATGATTTACAAGGTTTTTATTTGTTTCATCTGTGGGAAATTAGTTTTTTATGCGCAGAATATTAAGCGATTTTTTTGACTATTTTACTATTTTAACTTTTATATCTGGGGTTTAACTGTGTTTGACGGTTCAGGTGGGTTCCTAAAGGGCCAGAGCTTTCTTTCTCTGTCTGTCTGTCTGTCACCTTCTTTAAACCTGCCTCTGGGTTTAAAACACCTGTTTACCTCTACTGACAGCTTTGGATGTCTTTGTTATCGAGATTTTGTCCCAGGTGACAACCCCTAATAGGACATGGCATCAAAAGGTGAGAGAGGGCCTGCTTTGATGGTAATAACCTAAGTAGTTTCTTCAAATCTGTCAGTAAGGTTTAAAAGTAGCTAATGTTAGATGTCATGTTCGTGGTATACCGGAGAAGAGAGAAGAAAATGTAGGTTTGCTTCAAAAATAACAAAGTTGGTAAAGCAAAAAACAGAATTAGGTTATGCATTGATTTATTGAGTAAAAGGGGATATTTCTGTGTTTAATTTGTTGGAACATGCATTGTTCTTACACAGCAGGGTTGTTTCTTCTGAAGAAAATTAAAAATCTTTTATTTTTATTTTTTATTTTTTGGAAAGAATAAATAAATCCAGCTTCTGATATATAATAACTCCATACAACAAAACAATCACAATTCTGTCCCTGCTAATTGTGTTTATTATGCTTGTACAGCTGAATGTGAATAATTCCTGCATCTTTGTTTGCATTGTGCTCTGTGTAGGAAACAGAATCTTAGAACTATGATAAACACATTGCTGAAATCAACCCAGCATAAATTAGAGGCTGTTATTCAATGTGTTGCTCCAAATGGGCATATTCAGCTAAGGACACATACGCCAAAGCAGAAGTACTTCAGCGCTCGCCATGACAAGTGCTATCCCGATACTGTTGGCAGTAAGGAAGGATTTTGTTGTAACACCAGCTCCTACTGAGCTGCTAACTTTGCCCGTGTTCCCAAGCAATGTCAATGTCAACCATCCAGTTAATCTTTTTTTTTTCTAATTTTAATACAACTTCACATTTAAAACGTAGAATGATACTTTTTTCCCCAGTGTGCCACCTTTATGCTCAGCAGCTATACTTTAGACAACATGTTGGAGATATTTTGTATGTTTAGGAGCAGAAATGCAACACAAAGATGAGGATGGTGAGGTTCAAGGTGAGGTCTTAACATGAATCAGTGATCATTTTCACTGTCAGGGTTAGGTTATGCTATTGACATATATGATATTGTATGAGCCTAAACACAATGATATAATCATAATGCAATGTCATAATACCATGGAGATAGGCTGCAACTGCAGCACAATGAGGAGTCAGTGAGGTATCATACTTGGCTAATAGATTTAGGAGGTATGACTTTTATTTATTTTTGTTGGACATAGGGTTAGGGTTAGCATGGAGTTTTTTTGTTTTTTGTTTTTTTAGAAAATCAAAGCTGATTTATTAGACTTTTCATTATTTGAAACTGTTCCAAGAATTTAACCAGTAGTTTTTATTTTAGGTTCCCCAAAAAAAAAAAAAAAAAAAAAAAAAAACATTAAGGAGTGTGATTAAAAAAATTATAGTTAAAATATTGGGGTTCTTTTTCTTTCACAGTTAAAGTAAATCAGGGTTTTTTTTTTACTTGAGGAACCCATCAAATGCCAGTCAATCTTCATATTTGCCTTTTTGACCAATAAAAAAGTTAAATATTTACACTAGGATTTGGCAATTTGACATAAAAACCTAATTTCCTATTAGTTTTTTTTTTTTTAACCAAATCGAATTAATGTATTTTTTTTCTCTCTTATGCCATGTTACAGAAAATTAGTAGCTTTTATTTCACCAATCACTCTGGAAAAGTGACCTTTATTTAAAGGGAAATAATATTCAAACTCTGAAACATGCTTGTAATAAAAATACATAACCCCCTAAATATGTGCAGGTGGTGGTATCAAAGAGTGAGCTACTTTATCAGATATGAGTGCACATTTGGACAAAAAAGTGAAAAACTGATCTCTCTCTGGGCTAGGGAAGCCCACTGATGGAAGCAAATCCTTATTTCCCAAAAATTAAATCCTCATAAACAGAAGATTTGGTTAATTGAAAAATGTAATTGATTCACAGCCCTAATTTTCTCAATTTGACAGCCATCATCAATGTGCTTAATGACATCTGTGAGGCAGGAGGCTGTCCGGATTCAGCACGGCTCCTCTGGGTTTTATCAGTCTCCTCAGGTCAGAGTCATCTTCTCTAAATTTTTGGTTAGTACACTCTGATCTTCTTTATGAGCTGGAAACTCCTTGGCAACGGTAACAGCAAATGAGGATGTGTAAACTCATCCTGTGAGCAAAGATCTAAAATAGGTTGTTGCTTAAATCATCTGACTATGAAAGCATTTGTCTCATTGTGGCTGTAAATCTCCAAAATTAGAAATAAACTGATGATAAATAATAAAATAAATAAATAAATCCACAAATGTTGCCAAAACAGTGTTTCAAAACAAATCTCCAGTGTGCATACATTTAATCTGTAAACAGACTCAATACTGTATGTGTTCAAATGAATGACTGATCAGATTATTTATTTCTGACATCAGAATATAACACCGTCTGTGTCAGGATCCATGTTGCTAATATTAAAGGCTGGCATCTCATATTTCGATATAGTTTAGTAATTAGTTCATTGGGTTTATCAGCCAACATGTGTCATGACTTGGTTATATTTAACTTCATAAAAGGTAATGAATCCAAGCTAACACTGATCTCTGCTTCACTTCAATGACCAAATTACAGGAATAAGGCAGAGAGTTCCAAGATATTGGCCGCTGCGTGTTTGGTTTCATTTTCCTTTGAAGAGGCAGAAATGTTATCAAGCATTAAGTTAGCTGAAGTCCAGCTCCTCCTCCTCCACCTGTTAGGATTCTCTTGTTTGCTCTTCGACTACATGTGTGCTGTTTACTGAGTAAATATTGTATAATATTAACAGGAAGCTGCAACTTTTCAATACTAACATGTTCTTTATCATCATAGCCCCCTTTACACCGTAAGCCTTATGGTTTGTTTCCTTGTGGGCATTCTGTTCCCATTCTTTACAAAAGCCATGGACCATGAGTTTAATTCAGCCTAAAAAAAACAGTGCTACACCTTTAATCCAGCAGGGGGCGGGACTAAGAAAGAGCAAATCCTTAAACCCCATTGAAGTTTTTAAAGGACAATCACCTATTTTCCTGAAGCCTGATAAACCAGACTAAATGTGAGATTAAATGTGTAATTTAGTCAGGCCCAGATGAATGAGACATCAGAAGATTGTTGAAGAGAACAACCCGTTTTTTTTCAAACCATGTCTGTGCCTATTGGCCAACGCTCTGACCAATGAGCACAACTGACTGTGACGTAGTAAGCACGACAGAAAGCTGGTGGAGGATGAGCGTAGAGCCTCTTCCTGCTCACTTTTTAATGAAAAACCCCAAGTCTAATCCTTCCCAAACTGATTCCAAAGCTGAGTCAAAAATCGCCATCAGAGCCAGCGGTCCTTCACACCCGGCTAAGCCGAGAGAGGGCTGCTGCAGACGGGCTGTGGTTAGCCCTGGCTGCCCTTAGCCTTGGAGGTCTGCTGGTTGCTGCGGTCCTCTCAACTTCGGAAATAGTTTTTTATTTACGCATTAAATCGGTAAATGGACCATATAGTGATGCTTTAAAGTACTATATTCTTGCCTCAAATTATCTTTAAATGTACTTTTATTGAACAACAGCAACAGAAAGAGAACCTTTAACTTTGAATGGAATGTGTCCATGCTACTGTTCAATAGTTGTTCCCATCTTCCTTGTTGTGCTTTCTCCAGTGTCGTGCAGCTTTGTCGTCACGCCCTCAAAACCCTGCATCCAAAAATTCAAAGCCCTTCTCTGCGTTGTAATTGGTCCGCCACTTCTAGGGCCTGGGGCATTAATCGAGGCTAGACCAAACTCGCCGGCAAAAATGATTTTGGCTGCATGCGGGTGGGGCTAGTTTACTAGGCTAATTTTCCTTTTGTTTCATTATGAAACTTTCAGCTAATTAATAATCATAGATAACAAGCTTTAGGGCCCTAAAGGAAGCAAAGACCCCCTTTGTAAATATTTAAAAAATGCAGGTTTCAGGTTTTCAAAATTAGTACTTTCATCCAGAATGCTGCTAACTTAACCTATTATCCCGAAAACACATAGTGGCACACAGTATTGGCAACAGAATACTGTTTTTAAGACACTGAAGCTGTTTAGATTGGAGTGTTAGTGAGATGCGCCATCCAGAATGACTAGGCTATGAACTAGATCAAAGCATGTTAGAAAGAAGAGGTGACCCCTTGCTATGAAGCCCCATGTGAAAAGCAAAACTTAAATTGTAAGCTACTGCTTTGAAATTTACAAGACAACACGCCGACAGCACCCCCTACTGTTGAGATGGAGCTAAAGCTAGCCAGAGCGAACTATTGCGCCAAACCCATTCTATTTTTTGTTTGTTTGTTGTAACTAATTGGAGAGGATGGTTTGACTATCAGAAAACTGACTCATATTTTAGGAACTCTCTTTTGTGATTATTTGTTTATAACCTCTAAGGTTTATTTATTTATGTATTTATTTTTATTTACAAATTTTTAGCCACATTTTTTGTTATTCTCAAATGAGATAATGTCAAAACATATATTGTTATGGACAGACAAACAGACAGACAGACAGATGGATAAATGGATTTATGTCAAAGTTGATATATTTAAGGCTGCTGAAGATCTGTCCTATTATCGATCTCATTTTATTTTGTTGTTAATCAAGAGTAAAACTAACTGATAATATTTTCCGTCTAAAAGTTTGTTATTCAAAAATTACATTTTTTCTACCTACTAAAGAGTAATTTAAAATTAAATTAAATATTTCAAAATTTTATTTAAGGACGCTGGAATTATAGAAAAGGTGAATACTTTGGCAGGCAATTAAAGACTGTTTAACAATCTACCACTAGATGGCGACAAATAGTAACACTAAGGATTTACTGGAAGCGGAACCTTCCTTTCAGCCGCAAATAGAGGGAACTGTAATAATGACGGACAGTTATGGCAGCGAAAACAGCAAAACGAACATCTTAGCATAATATAATCATTAACATTAAATAACATTTTCCGTGTTAGAATGATCACAGTTTGATATTTAAAAGTTTACTCGTTCTTTTTTTTGCGGCGACCTACTGAGCGCAGAAATTCACGTTATTTAGTTAAACCTGCTGGAGTTTAGCTATGTGGGGTGAAATCGACCCTCCTGCTAAAGCACAGCCCAGTTTGTGTGAGAGTGAAAACAGGGAGGTATTACCAGAGGAACCTGCTGGTCCTTTACAGACATACGAACACTACAGACCCAGATACTCCACGGATAGCAGGACGGACCTCCAGCAGGACCCCTCCGTGAGATTTCAAAGGCTTTTCTTAGAAGTTGTGGTACCTTTTCTTCCTCTGATTGCTGTGTTTCTCCCTGCAGGCAGAGCCTAGCTGTGTGGGAGACATGATAGAGTCTGTAGCCATGAGTGGGAGCCCAGTGAAGAGCCAGCAGATCGGAGAGGCTGAGCTGACCTACGGGGAGCGGAGAGAGGAGCTGCTGCATCAGTACCGCAGCAGACCGCTGGTCTTCCTGGAGAGGTACCATGTAAGTGACAGCACATCCTTTACGGCTTCTGCATGCAGATAGGAGCCATATTTCTCCTAGCTGCTGATCAAAAACTCCCAGAAAGACATAGATCAAAGCAATACTTCCTCTGGAACAGTAACCCATAGATCTAAATGCTTCCACTGTTATTAAATAGACACCAGTGCTTCCTTGTTTTCAGCATCTCCCATTTGCCTAAAACCAAACAGTGACTATTATGACCAAACACCTCAGCTTTATGTCTCCAATTTTGTTGTATGTGTTCTGGATGCATTTGCAGACTAACCAGGCATGTTATGTTGTTCTTAGATCAATGGCTTCTTCATTTCTGAGTGGCCTTTCAGGTGTGGTTTCACTATGGATAATGCATGGCAGCTTTTGACTGCATCTTCACAAGGTCTTTGCTTTTATTCAAGGTTGATTCTCTGCACCAAAACAAACTATTTCCTTAACAGTATTAGGTCTGGATATTCTCACGGCTTATACTTATGTTAATATTAAGAAGTTGCAACTCATTTTTTTTGTTTTAAAGCATGTCTCTCATGTTGTCTTAAAGGGGCATAGTCACACTGTAACATTTTTAGATTTATAGGCTAAAAGTTCGCTCTAGTTGCATACAAAGTATTTCTGAAAAAGGATCCTGTCCTCCTGGGGTATTTTTTTTTTTTCATGTGTGCTAAGCCTTGCTTTTGCACAGTTTGTAAATAAAGCCCTTTGAGTACACAAGGAAGTAATGTTCTTAGCAATTTAGCATGTTCCAACAAAGTTGTTGAAATAGTAAAGAAAAGTCCAGGATGCATTGTGAAGGAAACGCCAAAAAAATATTTGTTTCCAAGACGGATAAGACTGAACTAGAACTTAAAATACAGTATAAACATTGGTGTTCTCTGAAGTGGGAGCTAAGGCTATGGAAGCACTCGCGGGTGGCTGCAGAGTTATGCATAAATAGATGATCTTATTAATAGTTATACTAGTGATAGCAAAGGTTTTCTTAGTCTACAGTCTAAGTACTCATGCCTAGGCTGCGTTAAATCATTTGATCACCCGTGTTCAATCCGAGCAGGAGGGTTTCTCAGATTGTGTACACAAAGAGGGAAACATCTTTAAGCATTAACAGAATTGATTAAAGTCATGTTTAACAAAATCATTGATTTAAGCACAAGTTGCAGAGTAAGTCTATACTTTCTTTCTGAGGGCTGTTTTCTTCTTGACCATATCTGAGAAAGCAGGAAAATGGCGCAGCCCTACTAAATGTTTTCCAATCTATCTAAAAACGCATGACTTTTTAAAATTTCTTTTATTGGAAAATGTTTTACCTTCACGCTGTTCCCCCGTTGATGTTTGCTAGGAACAGGAATTTTCTTTTCCCTTGATGATCTGATAGTAGGTTTTTAGGAGGGTTATCTAGAACTTAAAGATGCAATAGAACCGTTTATTTAATTAGCATCGGTTGGTCTTTGACTACGCCAAGCTGTTGCTTTACCAAAAGTCATTACAGGACAATCAGGCTCTTTACTATGTAGCTGCCTCAGTTGTCCCCATCTGGATTTCCGATACTTCTGCCAGCAGATGGCACCACATCTGTTCTTGTCTGCTTATCACAAATTAAGCTGGACTTCTGTTTAAGCTAAAAAAAAAAAAAAAGGGGGTAATCTAAACACCACCAGGAGGGACACTTGATGTATATAATTTTATTTTATCGTGATCAAATGGTTTTTGGTCTTATTAAGGCATTTAAGTTAACTCTACCCCTTAAAAATACATCCACAGATTATCCAGAAGCAAACAAAGCAGTGGCATCCTTCTGTGATCTTCTTATAATTGTTTAAAGGTATCATAGCCGCTGGAACACATTTTAACAGGAGGGTGCTGAGGAAGCATGTGGGTCGTTATGGCTACTGATTGTGAGGACACACATGCACTATTTGAAACTATTTCACCATATTCTGAGAAAAGACAGCTTACAACAAGTGGAGGATTGGAGAAACAACTGACATTGAAGGAGAGCAAAAAGGCAGACTGTTGCTTTGCTGCAGGAAACAAACTCTATTTCAAATTTCTATTTTTTTTTTATTATTATAAAACATCATCTCTAGGTTCATTTGACTGCAGTTGATATCTTTTTTTTTTGTCATGGTGCACATATAGTGAAACTTACTGTGTACTACATGGGCTCATCCTGAACAGTTTGGGTGGTTGAATGGCATAAATGGCAGGACTCACATTGTTATGATGAGGATCAAGCCATACGGCAATCGATTCAAAGTTATTTGTTTTTAACTTTTAGCACCGTATGATTATTTTTTTCTCACATAATTTCACATAATCACATTTATTTATTTTTTATAGTCCAGGCTTACTTGTAATTCTGTTGCTTCTCCAGCAGGGGGAGCTGCAGCCCTCCAGCACGAAAGGTGTTGTAAAATTAGTTGGTATACCTTCAGAATCTGATATAAAACAATAATATAAAACTTCATCAGACAGTGTGGAGAAAACAAAGTTTCAAATACCTGTGCAGTGTGTTAGATTTGTTTTTGATTTTTTTAATCTTTATTTACTGAAAGGCAACAGCCAACAACAACCACCAGAGTGTTAACATATTAAAACTAAAGAAAAATTAATTCCCTGACAAACCTTTTATCTGAATGGATAACAAAATACCAAACAAACAACATTCATAGTGTCAAATGAAAATGAGCTTAATAAACTGATACCATATTTCTTACACTTTGTGCTCTTCCCCATCGCAGGCCCATTTGAAGCCCGACCACCTTCCTGCTTTTTCCCACGTCAGCTCAGACCCGAGGGCTCAGCACTACAGCCAGTTGGTGCAGAAGCGAGCTGCAGGACGCACCAACAGAACCAGAGTCAGAAACCACCGTTATGCAGCCCTCAGGGCGCTACAGAAGGGTAGGGGTTTGGTGAAATGATTGAAAGCCCTTCTACTGATTAATAAGATCTTTATTTTATCTTTATTTTATTTTTTATCACCAGACAGCATACTCTCTGTGCAATGTGGAAATAAGAATAATTGTCTTGATGCCAAAAAAGAGCCCAGCAGATTTTACTTTCACAAGTGGAGCAGTACGGCTATCGCCATAGTGTTCCGCATGATTTATGCATATAAATTGCTTTATTATAATTCATGCTGGGAGTATTACAGATTATATGGACACTGCAATGTCAGTAGAACAGGAAAGGAAAAAAAGGAGAAAAGATGAAAGAAAGAGGAGAAAATGGGGAGATAATGATAAAACGTCTTCAGTCTGCTTCATCACCTGCAAAGAGATGTAAAAAGAACAGCACAACCAACAGATATAGTATAAGAGATACACTAAAGTAAATACTATCAAGACGTATAAGTGGTATTATTTAATCTGACATGTATACTGTTGTAGCTGAAGATAAGAATATGGGCTTTCTGTATGGAAGGGAATCTCTAAGTACCTGGGACCAATTTAATCTTTATTGAGTACAATGACTGTCACTCAGTAGTCTGGCAATCAGAGTCAAAGCTTTCCTGTTTTATGGTATGGAAGGTTTTGTGGTTGCATAACTCTTACTAGTTCTAGAAACGTAGCGGCTGCACCACAGCTTTGCACCTGGAACCTTACACAAAGAAATCAGAGGTGGGTAGAGGACCAAATATGTAGCATTACTGTAATCTATTTTAGTCAAGTGTATAAAAAGTAATTATTCAAGTAAGAGTAAAAAAAGTATTTTGTAATAAGGCTGCTGAAGAACTGCGTAACTGATCATGAGATCTGATTCACCTTTTAGATTAATGTAAGAAGACAGACTGAAATATAATCCCTCTGTTCCATTGGATGGGAAAGGGGTGCAGCTGTGCTTGGCCATGCAGTAACTCTAGTCATTCAGAGCTTTTCCAGCCTGTGAGTCTCTGAAGCATCCCCCAGATGCATCAGTGCTCACTGCTTCTCTGAAATATGTAGCATGTTCTTCCTTTTTTTTTTTTCTTCCTTGCTGCAGTGACGCCATGTCAATGTGGAGCAGAGCGGATCATCAGACACGAAGTCAGTTGATCAAAAGCAAAGTGGATCCAGTCGAGTTTACAAGACTACATGAGCAGACTTTTGATTGCGTTTTAGTCTAGAATTAAAGTAGTTTGATCAAGAAGTTATTAGCAAAGTCTTTGCAATCTGGACTGTTATAAGAAAGTAAGAAATTCTGTTCATATAGTTTATGAATAAAAAAGAAAAATGAAATGTTTGAACTCACTTTATTGATGAGAGATCCAAAGAAAGCAGCCCCAAAAAATGCCAGTAGTGCTTCCCAAATAAACCCTTTACAGAATTTTGTTCTATTTATAGCCTACAAATGATCTACTACCATACGATAGTCCATCCTTTTGTTATATGAGTCCAACCACAGAGAGGCGCTCCGCTCTAAATCACTGCTGGTGGAATAGCGTACCTGGCAGAAAGCATATTGCAGCGACACCACTTTCACACTCCCATTAACCAAGGGGTAAGGTTATGTGCAAATTCTGGCACTAAAGTAAAATTAATAATATAGTATAATTATAAAGCAACAACTTCTGTCAGAAGAAACAGTTTTCCAAATGATTTTTTTTTCTCTACATAGAACTACGATACATCCGTACAGTTGGCATTGTATACAATAGGGCTGCAAATAATGATTATTTTGCTAATTGATTAATCGATTAGTAATCAGATATCAAAACATTCCTTAAAGAAGATTTTTTGCTAAATTAAACCATATGAAAATAAAAGTTTTCCCCTTCAGGAGCTCTGATAGAGCATATTGACAGATGAAAAGTTTTTTATCTAAAATATTTATATATTTTTTCACTATCTTGTTATAATTACTTCTCTAAGTGGGTTGCTCTGTGAACTAGAGAAATGTTTTATAGTCTCTATACTGAATTTAATGATTATTAGATTACTAAATTAGTTGATGATTACTTAAATAATCGGTTAATCCAATAAAGTGTACATGATAGAACTTTGTAAAGTAGCTTCAGTAATCACTATGTGCTGTTTACAGTATATTACCTTGAGTTTTGCGTATCTAAAATAAATTTGTGCACAAAAAGCAATGCACAATTTTAACATAAATGTCAATGATGTGTCTGTTTTGGAGGCTTTGTGTAAAAGCTTGTTTTTCAATCAGTAAAGTTACTTTCATTGGGTCGAGTTGACATACATTTTACTAAAGTAAGAATCATAATGATATTACTCAGGTAAAAGTTAAAGGTTTAAAAAAATCAACAACAAAAAAAAGAATAAATGTAACTAAGTCAATAAATCTAGTTACTGCCCACCTTTCTGAACAAGTAGAAATTCCCCATATAAAGAAAATAGGGAATTAAGAAGGTTTAGTCACACTGTCAATGCATTGAGTCATGCAGCACAATAGATACTAGTTTAAATATTAACTATACTAACTATTAACTTTAGTTTTTACCTGATCATGTCTGAACTAATGAGCTAACAATAACCCTGATAACACCAGACGTGTCAAAAGTATTAATATTTATTACTTAAGTAGAAGTATAAATCCTACTGTTTAAAAAACCCTTTTGTAGAAGTTACAGTATCAACATAAGCATTATGCTCAAATACATTGTAAAAGTACCAATTTTAAGACTACTTGAAGTCTAAAAGTAATGAAGGACAAAATGTTAAGGACAGAAGCTTACCTGCACTATCCTATTAAAGGAATATTTTTCTACAATTCTGGATGATAATTTCCTTATACTGAATATTCTTAGATATACAACTAAAGGTAACAGTGTCAAATTTAACTTTTCATCATCGTCAAAAAATCTTTATTTTTGGTATGTGGCAAAGAAGAAGTTGGTGCAGTACTGACTCCAACGACAAAGAAATTAATTGTCTGGATGAATTTTTTTTTTAAATACCAACAGGCCATAACAAAAATGAGCTTATATGAAACAAAACTAACAAGTCTATTTTTAAAATGTACAGAAGAAAGTATAGAAAAAAAGAAGAAAACAAAAATAATTACTCCAGTAAAGTGTAGATAGCTAAATTTCTACTTAAGTAACAAAGTATTTGTACTTTTTTACTTGACACCTCTAGATAACACTAATACTCACCTGCCACATGCTGCTCTCTCCCTAATATCAGCGAGAACTTTCAAATGACCCAGAATCATTTTTTTTTTATATTGATCGCTGTGAGTTAACTGCATCAAAGTTCATTTTCACTTGTAATGCAAAGACTATTCCTAAGTCTTCTTCTCTAAATACTTCAAAGGGCTTCTTTAGTGTGAAAGGTAGGTTGAAAAAACATATTTCTCTGAAAAAAAGATCTTCAATGATTGTGAGTTTACTTTAATTTAAAGCGCCAAAATAAATAACAGCCATTCTGTTAATATATAGTGAATGCTGTTTTTTGATCTGCTGTATGTGGATGGAAAAATCACAACAGGATGAAACACACGCAACACCTGACATTTAAGTTACAAGATGGTGACAAATGCATGTAGATTAGGAATTTTGTGTGTTTCAACATAGATTAAGTGAACAGGTCATAGGGACAATCTGGAGGTGTGTGCGCGAAGCCACACACATGAAAAGCCCAGGTTAATTAGGGAGTGTTTTTGTCGCAGAAAGGAATCAGAATGACAGGTTAGACATTTTGTATCTATGGTTATCCTTTGAAATATTTATAGAGGTCTATGCTGTGTTAGAAGAAGGAATCCGAAGATCGTCACCACTGTTCTTTGAAAATATTTTCCTAAACCATTTGATGATGAACTGGAGATGTCAATCTTTCCTCTTCCTCTTCTCTTCTCATTGCAGCGGGTGAGTATTTCAGTGAGGAACAGATGCGGATGAGGGAGCCGCTGCTGTATGAGCAATATATTGGCCAGTTCCTGACTGACGAAGAGGTCCCTGTCATTTCTTAGTCAACAATATTTTTCGATGTGCATATATAGACAGAATCTTGAAAATGACGAACTGCTTGAATTGATTTATATTTTAGGTGTTGGAGCGTTCCCAGGAGGCCATGCTGGAGGGTGCACAGGAGGGACAAGGAGGAGGATCATGTGGGCTTGCCAATCTCCTTCTGAACTCCTACCAGGAGCGTCTCATCCAGAGCCGTCTGCAGGAGCAGCAGGAGAGAGAAGATGGTGCCCAAGAGGAGGATGAAGATGATGAGGGTAAGAGTGTTGGAACTGGCAGAGATGTCAGAAAATGTAGTTTTAGTTTCTCTTCCAGTCTCCATCCAACCGATGCATGTTTGTCACGTAGATGACGGAGAACAGCCGAAAGGATGGGAGCCCAACGCAGAGGAGAAGGCTCTGCTGAGGGAGGAGTTCATCAGTCAGATGCATCAGCGTTTCCTGGATGGCAAAGACAAGGATTTTAACTACAGGTCGGTTAAGGTCATTGCTACGTTGAGAATTTATATTTTAATTTACAAATGAATCTAAAAAGGTTGGAATAGAAAGGGAAAGTTTTTTTTATTTCATTGAGTAAATTAAAAAGAAAAGAGAAATTCATATTTTTGAATAGAAAATTAGAATATCATATAAGACTAGTAGAAATTCATTACTAATATAGAGATGTAAGGTTTATCGCTTGCCCTCTAAATGGAGGATATCCTATAAAAAGAGGCTAGAAAGTTTAGAGTAGGGGTAACCAATTAAAACTCAGTGGTGTCCGAATAAAGACAATCATCATCCAGTAAAGGTCCGGAGACATTTTTAATTATAATCTGTTACTTTTAACAGAATTGACACAAAATTAAAATTATGCCCCCATGTTAAACATTAACTTGTTAAATAAAAAATTATATAAAAAAAATATAAAATTTTTCCATTTTAAAATCTAAATGGCTTTTTGAAGTAGAGAACAACAATCGTTCAGTTTCTAATTCACATCTTTTATAAAACACCTGAACTGACCGTTTGTTTTTGTTTTTTCTTTCTTTTTTCTGGCTTAATGAGAGCAGAGGGCTTTATGCTGCCCTGCAAGGCTTTAAACCTGGGTTTGAATGGAGACAAAGCCATTCTAAAGCACATATCAGGGTTCTCATTTTGATCCTGGATCCATATTTATTTTTGATTCTGTTCATGGAGAATCCTGCTTCACAGCAGCAGGTTGAGCCAAACATACTCTAAATGTGCAGGGTCATCTTTGAGCACCATTGCACTTTTCTGTCACCAGTTCACCACAGTTCTTCGAGCAGTCCACACTTTCTCTTTTTCTCATCATCTTCTCCTTCTTTCCCATCGTCCGACTTGCCACAGGTTTGCTTGCTGTGTCTAAAAGTAGCAGCAGCAGCAACACAGAATGACAGCAGCTCATTGGCTAATTTGTATGACATGTAGCCTGGTGCTGGACACTCTGGAGGGCTTTACCGTAGAAACAGTAGAAGCACTGCAAGTGAAATTAGACACTGCCGTCGGACACCATGCGGTAATATATAAATGTTTTAAATCAGGTTGGGTCCGGATTAGCCAGCAGGTGGGTCCAGATCCGGACCACGGTCTGCTAATATGTGACCTCTGGTTTAGAGCAAAGAAAAAATGAAAATGGATGCATTAGCAATAAGAAATACTAGATTACCACCTGCAGCTTCAAGCAGATGTCACAGCAAATGGACACGTCTGGGATATTTGTTGATGACAGGAGGATGAGAGAATCCAGACCAATGTGATCACAGTGGAAATGTATAACTATTCAGCGAACACATGATCCTTAAATATTCCTATGAATCAAACATAATGGCAAGCATGAACTGGATATCTTAGTATTTGGATACATCTGCAGTTCTGCGTCCAGAAATACGTTAGATTTTTGATTGATTAAATCTCGAAGCATTGTTCATATAGAAACTGATGTCTGGATTGCAGATCATCACATCCTTAGAGCTATATCAACATAAGAACCTGAAGTATCTGTGTATATTGGGATTAGTAGCATCTGACCGAAAGTTACATTTTTTATTGATTACTTGAATTAAAAATGATCTTTTAATTAATTGATATATCATAAAACCTTCAGTATAGCCTTCATATCTAAAAATATATTACGATAAAATATCTGAAATTTTTAATAGCTTGGTTCTTTTAAATATATAATAACTGAATTTTGTATGTTGCAGTGAGGTGGATGATAACCCTGACTATGACAACCTGGACATTGTCAGCAGAGATGCTGAGGATAAATACTTTGATGAAGATGACGAGGAGGAGGAAGAGGAGGAGGAGATGGAAAAGGATGATGAAGAAGAGAACATGGCTGAGTAGGGAATGGTTCATTCAGAATGACTCTGCTGCTCTGATTCATCTGTAAATAAGAATGTAAAAATATAAACATTTGAGATTTGGATTGTTACATTTGTCTGCATTAAAAAGCATTTTGGTCTTTTACTACTCTGTTTTGTTCTTTCACATCTTTATATAAAAGATCTAGCAGATTCAAATTTGTTCTTATTAGTAACCAATACTATCTGAACATGCTTTTGGCAAAAAGGAGCTTTAGGATTTCAGAGGAATCAGTTGTGATCAAACCCTAAACAGAAGACTGGTGCTGTTCCTTTAATTATCTCTGCCACAAATAAACAGGAAACAAAGCTTTAAGGGAAGTTAACTTTACAGTTTAGAGGTAATATCACAGCAATTACTTTTTGGTGTCCTATGGAAGATTATCCTGCAGAGAATGGGATTGAATGTATTCTGTGTCAAGAAAGCAGAGATGGGAAGTAACGAAGTACAAATACTTCGTTACTGTACTCAAGAAGATTTTTCTGATATTTTTACTTTACTACTTATTTTTATGGCGACTTTTTACTTCTACTCCTTACATTTTTAAACAAATATCTGTACCCTCTACTCCTTACATTTTAAAAAAATTGGCTCGTTACTTTAGTTTTGAATCATTTCAATGGAGTTACCGTTATTATTTTTCACGTCATCAATACCAAATTCAATCTAATTGGATGGGAATCTATGTTGCATTTGACGCACCACTACAAGATGAATCGACAGATTCGGCGGTATTCATTGGCGGCAAATCATTGCAGCTTGGTGGCGGTGGCGTTAGCATAGTAGTATGGACACAACGGAGATCTAGTCCTATTGGCAGACATCCATTTAAAATGTAGGCAGCGGCATGAAAAAAGTGGTTTCTACTTTTATACTCTAAGTAAATTTACAAGCCTGTACTTTGTTACTTTTACTTGAGTAAAGAAGTTTAATCAGTACTTCCACTTTTACCAGAGTATTTTTTAACACAAGTATCTGTACTTTTACTCAAGTACGGAAAGTGAGTACTTTTGCCATCTCTGCAAGTAAAGCTGCAGTGGTTCCCGGCCCGTTCATACGAAGACGAACACGGTTAATTTTCAGAAAGACTCTGTCCAAATGAGAGGAACTAGCACCACTTCAAACACTAGTAGTTTCCCAGGCTCATTCGGACACTGTGACATTGCCACAGAAACATGCAAAAAAAAGCCCAAAAAACATCAGGCATGTGCAGACCCAATATCTGGCTGTGCAGTATCAGCCAATGTGTATACATGAAGAACTGCATACTACTTGGATGTAAAATAATTGCCATCATGTTTTTGTCAAACTGCCTACGTTAGTGAGAAAGACTAACACAAAGTGAATCCAGAAGAAATGTTGATTGCCTACCTGGAATTGGTGACAATGATTGAATAAAGTTCTGGCTCTCAAAATGGTATCGGTGCCCTATTTGTTGGTACTCTCTGATACCGATATCACAATTTTAGTGCAGTATCGGGGACCCCTGATACTGATTTCGGTGCAACACTAGTAAATACAACAGGTCAGATACAAGCATTTATGCGTGTGGATTGCAGCTCTAATGTGGCTTGGTAATTGGCAGGCCATACATAGTATTAAAGTGGAGCTCATCTTAAAGCTTCATTTTCAGCAACATTTAATAATCAGACTACAGCAACATGAAGCAATTTCCCCAACGCTTCTCCGTCTCGCACAACACAGGGCCTTACATGGTTCAGAATGGCTTCTGCAATGTCAGCATAACGTAGCTTGTCAAGTGATGACGAGATTTGATTATTGTGAGATGAGATATTACACTGTGCCTTTCCTCAGTCAAATAGAAGTAACCTTGAACCTGTCTCTATGCTGGAGTTATGTGAGGAGTTGGGATTGAGATGAAGGGAGCGGTTGCCTCCTAACACTAGACAAGGGTAGGGTGTTTAAGACTCCCTAATGCCGTGAACGGCAGAGACAGCTGTCTTGAAATGATTTTATCTGACTGGTGAAAAATGTATATCTTTGATGAACTCAAAGTTGTTTCTCTTGGGAACACCCAATGTTCGCGTGTGAGAATTCTCTTTATATGCAGGGGTGGGAAACCACCCTGCCAGAGCCTCATTAACAGTTCAATTTTATTTATTTATTTTTTTTTTTCATACTGTTGTTGTTAGCAAAAAGTTTAGCCATATATTTTAAAGATAAAAAAAAGTAGTACTTTAGCTGATTTAGTTTTGTTGTGTTAGTTTTTTGGGGGGTTTTGCCTGTGTTACAATTTAAGACGTCAAAGTTTTTGGTTTGTATTTCACTGGATATGTTGGTCTTTTTTCTTTTTTTTCCTTGGCTAAATCATGTGAGCATTTTTTAAAGATTTCACCAAATTAGGTTTCTTTTTTTGATTTAATTCTCTACTTATAACAGACAATACTTTGACTGTACATACTGTATGCTTTGGGCCTTTGTTGCTGGAACACTGTATTGGATTTATTTTTTTATGTTCTGCCAGTGTTCCCCAAGGCTATACAGGCTGCACATGAGCTGTCTCTTTGATGTTTAATCCTAGAAGCAACAGCTGGATTGTTTGTTTTTTTAATCATCAAGTCATTTTTTAAAGCTGCAGACTAATTAGTTTAAGATAAGATTAGACTCTTCCTCAAAGATGAATACTGACCACACAATAACAGTACAGGACAGACCAACGGACTCTTTACTGAATGCATGAAGTTGGTTGCACAGACTGGTGGTGTCAGTAAGCATAAAACCCTAACAATTGTTTGGATTAGATTGGGCTCCAATCTCTCCATTTCAATGTAGCATCATGGATTAGATGGCAGCTGGTAATCTGCTGGGAAAGTAGATAACTCTAAACATGGTCAGTCTGATGGTTAGGAAGGTTTATTACAAGCTTAAAGGTCAAAGGGTAAAACCTTCCTGCAGCATTTAGTGTTCTAACTCACTGTTAATAACTTTGTGTAAAATAAAAACCTTAACCATTTGTTAAGGTTTGTTCTGTTTAGATAATAATTTACTCAGGCAAATTTCTGTGTCACATTCTTTATAAAATTTAGTCTTTCAGAAGATTGCTAGGGTAGATGTTAGAACCCAAAAGGGAACTAAAAAGCATTTAGGTAGCAGCTATGGAAGGAATATTTGTTTAAAAACTACTTAGTAAAAAATACCTGTTCCAGTAGGTCTGGTTCCATCAACTCTTTCTAATGTGTATTTTGAAGTCCAAAAAAGTTTAAAAAGTAAAAAAAAACAAAAAAAAACTGGACTTTATTTGAAGACATTTCGCATCCCATCCAGGAAGCTTTCTCAATTCAAAATGTCTGAATTAGCGTTGTGTTCCAAGCTTTATAGAGTAGCCCAACAAAAGCCTTGTTATGGCTTAAGAAACATGTCCACCCCAACAGAGAAACAGGTCCACCCCTTAGTAATGGGGAACTGTTGAGGTCGTTGTTGGCCTGCAATACCCGACACTGGCCTATGCCTCTGAAAAGGGAGCCGTTATAGAAACCAGTGGGGTTCAGAACTTTATAGCCATAGCGAATAATATTTAAATGTCAAATCATTCTGGCTTAAACTTGTATATAAATGTACTCTTTATCAGACGATATTCTCCCAAAAGTTAGAAAATTTAAATTGAAAAAAAAGATTTTTTTTTTAATCTGTGGTTTTTTTTTCCGTTATCTTATGCAGGCAAGTTAATCATATGTCAGCTTGTACACCTAAATTCGGGCAATCATATATCAACGGTCATAGCATCTTAAATCATATGTTGCAGCTAATATATGCAACAGTTGAAATAGGAATCATTTACTTTCCCATTGAGTTCTGTCCCAGTGTTCACAGGGATGGATGTCTGTGTTTTCGGCAGGCGTAGAGTTAACAGAACTGGCAGAGTTGCGAGGCAAGGGCTCAAACATGTACTGCTGTAAGCCTTCTACACCAAACCAAGCTTCAGGGGAAGAGGGCGAAAGTGTAAGACATACTGCATCGTGTTCTCAGTACCAGAACGTTAAATGGCAATTATTTTCTAGATTCCCCAAATAAGAGTTTGTGACAAAATTCCTATCACGTTTTACTACTCCTCTTGAAAGAAAATGCAAAAAGCTGCCCAGAAAAGACTTAATGAGCACAAGTTGCTCACAGCTACCTTGCCTGCTACTGACGACTATAATTACAGAGGCACGGAGCTACAAACAGACGCTGATGAGGAACACCAAGTAAGTCCCCAGCTGCCAAGAAACCTTCTCCTAGTATCCCTCAAACAACGAGCAATCTAAACACTGAAGATGCTACTACTATGCTCAGGGCCGGCGATTGCTACAGGCGAGCTAGGCAATTGCCTAGGGCGACAAATGTGTTGGGGGCGCCCTCTAGCGTCGCCCTTAGGCTTACTTCCCATTAATCATAGAATTAGAAAAAAAAGCGAATTAAACCGGTTATGAAGCGTCCGTCAGTTTGACTTAACCTTACGTATATATAAATAAATAGCAAAATATGAACAAATAAATATACCACCGTTTTTTTATTTATTTTTTCACATTTAAGAGACAATCGGAAAAGATTCTGATCACTTTTCAAGCGCCCTCCAACCTGGAAGTCGTGACGTCAATCACTGCAGCATGTACACCAATATTTTGGAATGAAATTGTAAGCAAACAGATATTAAAAGTAAAACAAGTGAAGTCTGACACTTAACTTTGCTCGCGACTCGAGGATGGCTGAAAGGAAAAGACTCCCCTCTCCTCCTCCAGCTGCAGTCGGCCCGTCTTAATCATCCACTCAGAGTACCACTGGTTAGCGCACACAGACTTTGTAGCTTGTCCGGTCAGTTAAAAATATTAATTGTGAAATCCGTCTTGTAATCGGAAGCATACAAGCTAGTTAGCTTGAAAAGTAAATAAAGTTTCAGACGTGCTGCGTGATGATGCGTTCAGATTGGCTCAGTAAAACGATAATTAGGTTATCATGATGCATTCAAGTGTAACGTAAAGAAAACGGGAAATTTAGTTTTTGGCGAGAAACATGAGTAATACAGTTGTACATTGCTCTATATATAATTAAACTACTGATGCCAACATTTATTAAAAATTACATTTAATTTAAAATACAATTATTTA